TCCCCCAGCCAGCTTTAAGACTTGCGGACTTCAACTCCCAGAATCCCCCAGCCAGCTTTAAGACTTGCGGACTTCAACTCCCAGAATCCCCCAGCCAGCTTTAAGACTTGCGGACTTCAACTCCCAGAATCCCCCAGCCAGCTTTAAGACTTGTGGACTTTGACTCCCAGAATCCCCCAGCCAGCTTTAAAACTTGCGGACTTCAACTCCCAGAATCCCCCAGCCAGCTTTAAGACTTGCGGACTTCAACTCCCAGAATCCCCCAGCCAGCTTTAAGACTTGTGGACTTCGACTCCCAGAATCCCCCAGCCAGCTTTAAGACTTGCGGACTTCAACTCCCAGAATCCCCCAGCCAGCTTTAAAACTTGCGGACTTCAACTCCCAGAATCCCCCAGTCAGCTTTAAAACCTGTGGACATGGCTGACTGGGGAATTCTGGAAGTGGAAGTCCACAGATCTTAAAAATTGCCAAGGTTGGATACCCTGCTTTAACCGACCTGTTTTACAACCGTTCCAACTTACAGCTGCTCCGAGCAGGCTCCATTACGGTCGTAACCCGAGGACTAGGACTTCATCTTGTTCCTAGCCCACCCAGCTGGGCACCAGTCTCCACGTTCCCCTAACTCCCTGTGCAGAGGACCCCCACTTGTTGTCCTGTTCTCAGCCCCCCCCCAAAAGGGTTCCCAGGTGCAAAGGGACGTTGCCAGCTCACTTTTTATTAGCAGAAAAAAAGCAAATTTAAGGCTTATGGCTATCTAGGAGCGCTACTCTCCTGGGGTTTCCCCCGCCAGAATAATAATTATTTGCAAATGCTGGAATTAATGCCTCTTAATGCCTTTTTCTCTCTCCTTTTTTTTTTTTTTTTTTGCACTGTGATCATCGCAGCTCAAAACACATTTCCTTGAAGGAAAAAAAAAAAGATAAAGGGATTTGAATGTTTAGCTTGCATTTGCCGAAGAAGAGGGCTTTTAATTGAGATTCTGAAGCTGATCTCGGAAATAGGGTTGATCCGGCAAAGGGAAAGACCGGGAAAAGCGCGAAGATCAGGAAAGGGATCTGGTGCCGGGTCTCTTTCTCGCTTCCCAGCAATTAAGAGGGCATGTTTAGGGGAGGCTGGTGTTCACCAAACGGATTGGCGGAGCGATTTTAATAAAGAATCATCTTAATAACCCCTTCTGGGTGCTAGGGAGAGCCGATTCCCTGCAGCTTTTTGCTATGCAAAAGCCAAAAAAACCCCAAAATCTTTTTCCTGTGCAAAGTCACAGATTCTGCTTACAGGGATCAGCTGTTTTCCACTCTCCAGTTTCGGCCTGAAGAGAATAACGGGGATGGAAGGGACCCTGGAGGTCTTCTAGTCCAACCCCCCGCCCTTGCTCAAGCAGGAGACCCTAGACCAGTGGTTCTCAACCTTTTTAATGCCGTGACCCCCAACTGGTCGTAAGTCGAGGACTACTCCACCGGTCGTAAGTCGAGGACTACTCAACTGGTGCAGCAACGTTGGCAGACTGGGACTTTTGGCGGGCTCAGCAGGGCAGAGACAGCCTGGACAATTCCTATTGGCTTTTGAAAGCCAATAGAATTAGACTCTATTCAAGAGCGTCTATTCTATTGGCTTTCAAAAGCCAATAGAATAAAAGGGAGGAGCACAGCTAAGGAAAAGGGGGGAAAAATGGTGGACTGCGTTGTTTGGCGACCCCCGTGAAATGGGGGTCGCCAAATGGGGTCCCAACCCACAGGTTGAGAACCGCTGATTTAGGCTTTTCAACTTTTTCACCCATTGTGCCACTTTCAGGATATGGCAACATCCGAGGACCACCAGTTGCCTAGCAAGGTGTTAAGAACTTGATGACCAAAAAAAAAAAAAAGGAAAAAAGTGATAAAGTACAGGTAGTCCTCGACTTACAACAGTTCACTTAGTGACTGTTTGAAGTTACAATGGCACTGAAAAAAGTGCCCCCCAAGCCACAGCCCAGCAAGACACCTGCCTGCCCTCCTGGCCATGCTTTCCTCCTGTCCGAGGTTTTCATTGTTGTGAGCATTTCTGTTGGGGATTGGCAGCGGGGGTGGGGTGGGGGGTGTTTGGTTTTTATTCCCCCCCCCGTCTGCTGGGTGGTTGCAGCAGGTTTTGGGTCACTTCACATGACCCTGGGACACTGTGACCGTCATAAATATGAATCAGTTGCCAAGCATCTGAGTGTAAATCACAAGACCCTGGAGATGCTGCAACATTCCAGCTGACCGGCACTTCTTCTGGGTTCAGCAGAAGCACCAGGATCAGCGCTGAGCTCCAGCTGACCGGTGCTTCTTCTGGGCTCAGCAGAAGCACCAGGATCAGCGCTGAGCTCCAGCTGGAGCCTGGCACTGATCCTGGTGCTTCCACTGAGCCCTGACAGCCCCAAAGATCAGCTGGAGCCTGCACTGATCCTGGCGCTGATCCTGGTGCTTCTGCTGAGCCCCGACGGCCCTGCAGCTCCAGCTGTCTCTCGCTCAGGCTTGTGCGGTGCTGCCCCCGGTTCAGCTCATTCCCCTTCCCTGCTACCCCTTTTCTAGGATGGTCGCGTACCACCTGCCAGGTGCCAGTGGACCTCAGGTGGTACCCGTACCACTGGTTGAAAAGCCCCGATTTAGACAACCTAGTAAAATCATAGAATTATCAGGCCCCACGCCAAGGCAAGAGATGCTCCTCTCGTCTTGGACAAACGCTGGTCTATAATCTTTTCTTGAAAACTTCCAGGAGATTAAGCCATGTTCCCGTCGATCTTCGATCTTAATTTACCTTTCCCCAAATTGGGATTTTTGTAGAAATAAACCTTGCAGAGAACCTCAAGGAGGTAGTCCTTGACTTACAACTGCAACTGAGCCTAGAATTTATGTCGCTAAGTGAGACACTTAAGAGAGTTTTGCCCCATTTTACAACTTTTTTGGCCTCGGTTGTGTGAAGAGAAACGCTGAGGGCGTTAGGTTAGTGACACGGTTGTGAAGGGAATCTGGAGTCCCCCATTGGCTTTGCTTGCCGGACGGTCACAAAAGGGGATCACCTGACACACACACATGCCCCAGGACACTGCAACCGTCACAAGTCCATGCCAGTTGCTGAGCTTGTCTGAATTTGGGTCACGGGGAGGCAGCAAAGGTCATGTGAAAAACGGCTATCGATCCCTTTTTGTCGGCGCCGTTGCAACTCTGAACGGTCACTAAACGAATCGCCGCAAGTCGAGGACCACCTGTAGTGTGAGATTGTGTGTATGTATGTGTGTTGGAGCGAGGGGGGGGAACAGCATGCTTTGCTATCAGAAATGCATGTTGCATATGAACTCCCCCCCCCCTTCCCTCCCCTTTGCAAGCAGACCGGTCAATTTTTATTCCCAAAAACCCAGATTAAAAAAAAAAAAAAAAAAACGAGGTCGTCTTCGCCAGCCGTAAATGACATTTATTTTCTTATTTAAAGTCGACAGATTGGGGGGAAATAAAATAAAACGCACAATCAAAGTAGTGCAAAAGAAGTCGCAATCCAACCCAGACACAGGAGAAGTGAGACGCAGGGGGGGTGGGACAGATGCCCTCTTGACAGCCACCCAGCCACTTGCAAAGGAGGGAGGGGGGATTTGGGGAACGGAGGGGGGGCAGGAAAGGTGACTCGGACGTGAGCAAAGGAGCCGGGTCAAGGCTGGACCTCGGTGGGCCCTGCGTGCAAGTGTGCTGCGGGGGGGGGGTGTTGCGTGGTGGCTGCAGCAGATGGGGAGGGGGCTGATTTTGGTGCCAGGGGTCCAATCAAGTGCTTGCAAAGGGGGGAGGGTGAGGGGGGAAAGCCCACCTGTGTGGTGGTGGTGGTGGGCCGCACAAGTGCCGGGTGATCCAGCCCACAGGGCAGCTGAGTCTCCAGGAGGCCTTCACTGCCCCTCCCCCCCCCGGCCAGGAAGGAAGGAAAGGGGAGGGAGGGAGGGAGAAAGGAAGGAAGGAAGATGGAAATGAGAGGAAGATGGAACTGAAAAGGAAGGAAGGAAGGAAGGAAGGAAGGAAGGAAGGAAGGAAGGAAGGAAGGAAGGAAGGAAGGAAGGAAGGAAGATGGAAACGAGAGGAAGGATAAAAGATGGAACTGGAAGGAAGGAAGGAAGGAAGGTGGAAATGAAAGGAAGGAAGGAAGGAAGGAAGATGGAAATGAGAGGAAGGATAAAAGGGAACTGGAAGGAAGGAAGGAAGGAAGGTGGAAATGAAAGGAAGGAAGGAAGGAAGATGGAAACGAGAAGAAGGATAAAAGATGGAACTGCGAGGAAGGAAGGAAGGAAGCAAGATGGAAATGAGAGGAAGGAAGAAAGGAAGGAAGAAGGAAGGAAGATGGAAATGAAAGGAAGGAAGGAAGATGGAAATGAGTGGAAGGAAGGAAGGAAAGAAAGGGAACGAAGGGAGGGAGGGAGGGAACGAAGGAAGAAAGAAGGGAGGGAAGGAGGAGGGGGGAGACAGGCTGGGCGTGTGCGTGCAGATGGACCCCCTTTCTGGTTCAACCTTAATTAAAATCCCTGCCGGTGCCGGGGGGGGGGGCTTAGGAGGGGGGGATGGCTTTCCATTGGGGCTCTTGAGGGGGGACACAAAGGACCGGCAAGGAGCCCCCCCCACCCAGGGCACACACTCACACACACACACAGACACACAGGGACACCACAGAGGAGCAGATCCTCTGCCTTCCCCGGAGCAGTCCTGCCAGGGGGGGGGGGCATTGGAGGTGAGCTGGGCGGGAGCACAAAGCCCATCGGGCACACACAGGTCCGCAAAGTGGGCGAGGGGGCCAAGCCCGCCCCCTGCCGGCCCCGGGTGCTCCGTTGCCCCAACGGGCGACAGCGGAGTCTCCTGGCCCCCAGCGAGAGGGACCCCCCCCTTAGCAGCCAACGGGGGGGGGTGGGGCAACTTGCCAGGCCCCGCCCAGCGCAGAACGAGAGGGAGGGGCCCTGGGGAAAGGGCCCGGGGCCCGCCAGCCCCCTCCTCCCCCCCGGGATCTAGGCTGTGCTGTCCGCTAGCTTGCTCTCCGAGTCGCTGTCACTCAAGTAACTCCGGGAAATTGTGGGTCGGTGGGCGCCGTCGGAGAAGTCGCGCTCCTCGTCCGATCGGTCGCAGGCGAAGAGCCTCCAGGGGCCGGAGGGGCTGCGAGGAAGGAAATAAAATTTTATTATTATGATTCATTTATTAATTATTGTTTGCAGGTATCCGACGAGGCTGGGCGGCTGGTGGAAATTGGTTGGGTGGGCGGGGGGGGGGGGTTAAGGAAACCCACCGGGACACAATCAGGGACGCCGTTTTGCCCCAGCGGCGTTCTTGTCGGGAGGGTGGGGGTGGTGCTTGGAAGCTGCAAGCCCATCATCCCCGCCGAGCCCACGCTGGGCGCCCCAAATGGGTCCCTTTCAAAGGGGATCCTTCTTTATGGACATTTCTTTATTTTATGGGTATTTTTCGACATACGTCCACCATTGGCGTCGCTGAGTGAGGCGGTGGTTAAGCCCGGCTTGCCCCCGTTTTACGACCTTCCTCGCCCCAGCGAATGTTAAGCGAATCACGGCAGTCGTTAAGTGAGTCACACTCACGGCCGTTAAGGGAATCTAGCCTCTCAGGTCGCAAAAGGGAGACCGCCTGACCCCGGGACGCTGCAACTGTCGTAAGTACATGCCGGTTGCCGAGCAAGTTTGATCCCGGGACCGTGCAACGGTTGGTAAGTGTGAACAACGGTCGTTAAGTCCCTTTTTTCCAACGCCGCTGTCACTTCGGACGGTCACTAAAGGAACAGTTGTTAAATTGAGGACTGCCCGGGCTTCGTAACCGCCCATCCCCTTTGGAGAGGGGGCTCTCTTTCCAGGATTGTATTGTTGTGAGGTTAACACAAAGCCACACGCGCACACAGGCATGCAGAAACTCTGAACAAGGAAACTGTGTATTCCCCCCCCCTTTCCTCTCCCTGAAAGCCCCCCCCCTTGAAATGGGTTGGGGGATGGTTCTTAATAATGGCTACGCAAGGTTTTGCAAAGTGGGGAGACCAGGAAGGAACCACAATTCCTGGCTTGTCCTCTGTTCTGCTGCCTGAGCAAACCCCCCCTTCTTGGAAAAATCCCACCCTGCTCCCCCCCACGTTTTATTCTAGGATTGTGGTTGACCGTTGATCCTGGGGGGGCTGTTAAATTGGGGGATCTCTGCCCCCACCCCAAATTCTGCAACTTTTCTTCCCGGCCAAACTTCCTCTAATCCATGCAGGTAGAAAAATCTGTGGCTGTAGGAGATGGGGGACCCCCCAATATTTTGTCTTTTCCTGGAGGAAGGGGCTGGTCGGTACCCCGTTTTCGGTGTTGTGGCAAGTGAGGTGTGAAACGCAACAGGCCACAATTGCCCCCGTCTGCTCCCACCGCAAAGGGGTGACCTCCTAAAACCTCAAATATAGAATAATAAAATATAGAATAGAATAAAATACAGAATAGAATAGAGAATAAAATAATACAATATAAAATAGAATAGAAGAATAAAATACAGAATAGAATATAGAGAATATAGAATAGAATATAGAATAGAATAGAATAGAGTAGAGTAGAGTATAGAGTAGAGTAGAGTAGAGTAGAGTAGAGTAGAGTAGAGTAGAGTAGAGTAGAGTAGAATAGAATAGAAAATAGTAGAATCGAATATAGAATAGAATATAGAATGGAATGGAATAGAATAGGAGAAAGAATAGAATAGAATAGAATAGAATAGAATAGAATAGAATAGAATAGAATAGAATAGAATAGAATAGAATAGAATATAGAATGGAATGGAATAGGACAGTGGTTCTCCACCTGTGGGTCGGGACCCCATTTGGGGGTCGAACGACCATTTCACGGGGGTCGCCAAACAACGCAGTCCGCCATTTTTTTCCCCCTTTTCCTTAGCTGTGCTACTCCCTTTTATTCTATTGGCTTTTGAAAGCCAATAGAATAGACTCTCTTGAATAGAGTCTAATTCTATTGGCTTTCAAAAGCCAATAGGAATTGTCCAGGCTGTCTCTGCCCTGCTGAGCCACCAAAAGTCCCATTCTGCAAACGGTGCTGCACCAGTTGAGTAGTCCTCGACTTACGACCGGTTGGGGGTCGCGGCATTAAAAAGGTTGAGAATCACTGGAATAGGAGAAAGAATAGAATAGAATAGAATAGAATAGAATAGAATAGAATAGAATAGAATAGAATAGAAAATAGAATATAGAATGGAATGGAATATAGAATGGAATGGAATAGAATAAAAGAAAGAATAGAATAGAATAGAAATAATGGAAAGAATAGGAATAGAAATAATGAGTGGAATAGGGATAGAATAGAATAAACAAAGTTAGAAGGGTCCCTAGAGGTCATCTAGTCCAACCCCCTGCTCAGGCAGGAGGCCCTATACCATTTCAGACAAATCTTTTCTTAAAAACCTCCGCTGCTGGAGCATTCACCAGTTCTGGTGGCAGGCTGTTCCACTGGTGAATTGTTCTGACTGACAATTAACAACTGTCTCGCTTAGCAATTTTGGGGCTCAATGATGGTCGTAAGTGGAGGACTGCAACGGAGGGCTTCGGGAAATGCCAGCTCCCGGCTGCTTGAACGTGGCAGCTGCTGAATCGCCCGCCTGGCTCCCTCGGTCTCCTCCATGGAAACGGTGAAGCCAGCAGCTTGCCTTCCCGCGACCTCATTACTCATTTCTGCATTATTATTTTTATTTTCTTATTTTTTCTCTCTCTCTCTCCTATCCCCCCTCCCACCATCCCCCCCCCAAGATCCCTTTCAGGGCATTCTGTGGTGATTGACTCCCCCCCCCCCCCCCGCAGTTATCAGAGCTAAGCAAATAATCTGTAGCAAATCAGGCATTTGTTGAGAATTTCACCCCTCTCTGTCACAGGAAAAGAGAGAGAGAGAGAGAGAGAGAGAGAGAGAGGAAGAGTGGTGGGGAGAGAGGGGGGAGGGAGAGAGAGAGGACGAGAGAAAGAGAGGAAGAGGGGGAGAGAGAAAGAGAGGGAGAGAGGGAGAAAGAGAGAGAAGAAGGGAGGGGGGAGGGAGAGAGAAAGAGAGGGAGAAAGAAATAGAGAAGAGAGAGACAGAAAGAGAGAAGAAGGGAGAGGGGGGAGGAAAAGAGGGAGAGAGAGGGAGAGAGAGAGAAATAGAGAAGAGAGAGAGAGAAAGAGAGAGAAGGGAGAGAGAGGGGGAGAGAAAGAGGGAGAGAGAAAGATAGAGGGAGAGAGAAAGAGGGAGAGAGAGAGAGAGAGAGGGAGAGAGAGAGAGAAGGGAGAGGGGGGAGAGAGAGAGGGAGAGAGAAAGAGAGAAGAGAGAGACAGAGAAAGAGAGAGAAGGGAGAGAGAGAAAGAGGGAGAGAGAAAGAGAAGAGAGAGGGAGAGAGGAGAAATAGAGGGAGAGGGAGAAATATAGAGAGACAAAGAGAGAAAGAGAGAGGGAAAGAGAGAAAGAGAGAGGGAAAGAGAGAAAGAGAGGGAGAGAGAAATAGAGGAGAGAGACAGAGAGAAAGGAGAGGGGGGAGAGAAAAAGAGAGGAGAGACAGAGAGAGAAGGGAGAGGGGGGAGGGAGAGAAAGAGGGAGAGAGAGGGAGAGAGAAAGAGAGGAAGAGAGAGAAATAGAGAAGAGAGAGAGAGAGAGGAGAAATAGAGGGAGAGGGAGAAATATAGAGAGACAAAGAGAGAAAGAGAGAGGGAGAGGGAGAAAGAGGGAGAGAAATGGAGAGGGAGAGTGAGGGAGAGAGGAGAAATAGAGAGAGGGAAAGGAAGAGGGAGAAAGAGAGAGGGAGAGAGAGAGAAATAGTGAGAGAGGGAGAAAGAGGGAGGGAGAGGAGAAATAGAGGGAGAGGGAGAAATAGAGAGAGAGAAAGAGAAAAAGAGCGGGAGAGAGAAAGAGAGAGGGAGAGAGAAATAGTGAGAGAGGGAGAAAGAGAGAGGGAGAGGGAGGGAGAGAGGGAGAGAAAGAGAGAGGGAGACTTTCCATGACCCAACTAGGGAACATCAGCAGTGCTAGAAGAGGGCGGTGTTCTGGAGAGGAGGAGGAGGAGGAGGAGGAAGGAAGGAGACCTGAAGGCAGGACAAGAAGCAACAGATGGAAACTCATCCAGGAGAGAAGCAACCTAGAACTAAGGAGGAATTTCCTAAGGGGGGGGGGAAACAATTAACCAGCGGAACAGCTGGCCTCCAGAAGTTGTCGGTGCTCCATCCCTGAAGGTCTTCAAGAAAAGACTGGACAACCTGGACAAGTCTCCGGCTTGAGCAGGGGGTTGGACTAGAAGACCTCCACGGTCCCTTCCATCTGTTATTCTGTTACCGAGGGTGGCTACTCCGGGAAGGTCACGCCGGACTAAAAGGGGGGGGCAGCGAGCTACCCCACCATGGCTCTTCGGGGGGCCTCCCAACACCAGACAACAACACCGTGTGCAATTTACCAAAATGGGGAGGGGGGGTGTCTCTTGGAGAGAAGAGAGGTGGGTGGAGAACAGCAAGACAAGAGTGGGGCACACACCCCCCCACCCCACCCCTATAATCTTTTTCCTTCTTTCTTCCAGCTCTGTATGTCTCCTCCCCGGCGCGCAGCACTTCGAGACCCCCTCCCTCCTCTCCCTCCCCTCTTTCCACCCCCTCTCCCCCCCCCTTGCCCAAACCCAATTCCATTCTTCCCAGGCTCCATTTCTGTTCTATCAGCTGGAGCGTTAAGTGCATTAAGAAATCTAAAGCACCACACATTCTCCCAGCTGCAGGAGGCTGCACCGGCAATTGAACATTTTAAAAAGAAATTGCTTTCAAAAAAAATAAAAAAAAAGCAGGGGGGGGGAGAAAGCCCGTGCAAACACAGGGCAGGCAGGCACAGAAATACACACACACACACACACACATACACACAGAGAGAGAAACAGACACGCACATATACACACAAACACAGGTCTGAACGGAGCGTGCGTTGAAAGCTGTCGGAAACAATGTAGTACACAAATAATTTGGGTGGGCGTGCGGAACAAGGAGGGGGGGGGAATTGCAAAGATTGCTGCAGCTTCCCCCCCCCTCTTCCCGGCTAACACTTGCTGCAGAGACCCCCTCCCCATCGCTCCCCTTCCCCTTGTCACGTCTCCGAGGTGGGCAAACAAAGACTCCCACTGCAAGACGGAACAGCTGCCAAATGTTGGGGGTTTTGGATGTTGCCAAGCTTGGCGGTAGAGGCTCGCTGGCGGTTTTGCACGGGGAAGATGAAAAAAAATGGGGGGGGAGGATGGAAAAGTGGGCCAGGAGAAGAGAGTCCACGGCTCCTTTCCTGGGTGGGTGGGTGGGGGGTGTCTCAAGGCCACCCTGGCAGAGCCAGAGCGCCTTCTGGAGCCGCAGGGCCGTGTCTTCTTCTTGGGACCACCTTAGGAGGCCTCCAACGTAGACCGTTCAGACCAAACTGGGCCCCTCCCCTCCAGAAGGGCCTCTCCGGGTGTATTTCAGCCTAGATTTGGGCAGGCGGGATTAGGTCCTGCTTTGCAGTCCTAACGGGGCCGAGCAACTGACGGTTTGCTTGCGTTCTTTCTCTTGGCCAGGGAGAAAGGTTGAGGCAGAACCAAAGAACAGTTGCAGAGAAGCAAAGAGAAGGACGTTGAGGTGAAGCATCTCTCTCTACCCCCCTCTTTGTAAAAAAAATAAATAATGAAAATAAATAAATCACTCGCAGCCTCCCATCTCTCAGAGGGCGCATATGTAGGGAGGAATGATGTAGACCTGATCCAGAAGAAGAGAAGACTCTGAAGAAGCTCTACCTTCTCAGAAGCCTCCAAGAATTGACTGCATTTATTCCGTATGACAGGGTTTCTCAACGTTGGCCACTTGAAGAGGGGTGGACCTCAACTCCCAGAATTTCAGAGCCAGCATGCTGTAAGAGGGGTGGACGTCCACTCCCAGAATCCCCCAGCCAGCCACGCTTTAAGAGGGGTGGGCTTCCAGAATTCCCCACCCAGCATGCTATAAGAGGGGTGGACTTCCGCTCCCAGAATCCCCCACCCAGCATGCTATAAGAGGGGTGGACTTCCACTCCCAGAATTCCCCAGCCAGCATGCTATAAGAAGAGTGGACTTCCACTCCCAGAATTCCCCAGCCAGCCTGCTACAAGAGGGGTGGATGTCAACTCCCAGCATCCTCCAACTAACATGGAATTCTGGGAGTTGGTCCACCCCTCTTCAAGTGACCAACGTTGAGAAACCCTGTCATACGGAATAAATACAGTCAATTCTTGAAGGCTTCTGAGAAGGTAGAGCTTCTTCAGAGTCTTCTCTTCTTCTGGATCTGGTCCTATGGCCGGAGACAACTGTGTTCTTCCCCGGAAGCTTCTAGCAGAGGATAGGACAGTGGGTGCCACGGCTACTTCTGCTGCCATGATGAATTTCGGAAGCTGCCAACCTTCCTTGTAGGCTGGAAAGGGTCCATTGACCAAAGTTCTACAAGGCTGTCCAGCAGCTCACCTCCACCACCACCAAAAAAAACCAGAGGGCCGTGGAGATCGTCTCCACTGCATGACAACGGTTGCCACTATCCTACTCAAACCACTGGGCACAATCAGGCAACGATGTTGTCACTGGCCAATCCTTGCAATCCAGAAGTAGCTTTGTGGGTGCTTCTGACACGAACACAGACATGGGAGGACAAAGCCACAACCCACAAGGACAGGGTTAGTTCCTGGAGACACGCACACATTCCATGCTGGAGGTCAGTCCCCAAAACACAAGGGTTCGAAGCTTCCACAGTCAAGCCCCATGCAGAAAATTGCTGGAACTTCTCCAGAGTTGCTTCGTTAGATGCCAGCCTGCCACAAACTATGAGAACGAGGGAAACCGGAACTAAGCATCGTGCCATCCCGAGACATCGGTTCATCGTCCCAAGGTCACGAGTGTGGGAAATGAAAGGGAACCGCTCCCGATCTAAGCTCGCTTTCGCGGGGACAGTTACCGAAACAACTTCGAACGGGACTGGACCAGCAGGAGATAGATAGCAGTGAGGGGGAATGAAAAAGGGAAAGTGAACTGTGAAGGTTTTATGTGCAAAATTTCAGCTTTACCGTTAACCACTTGAACTTTTGGTAAAAATATTCTTTTCGCTCACCTCCCGTTCAGAAGGTTGAGAGTTCAATCCTAGGTAGCGGCAGATATTTCCTTGGGTGCAAAGAAAAAAATATATATATCTGCTGCCAACTCCACGTGGCGCCAGGAAGGGCATCCGACCAGTAAACGCTCAGATCCATCCTGTCGCTATGACTCTACCCCGAGTTAAGGGATTAGGAAGTCGTAAAAAGGGAGTTTTTAAGCCAATGGTTCTCAACCTTTTTAATGCCGCGACCCCCCCCAACCGGTTGTAAGTCAAGGACTACTCAACCGGTTGTAAGTCGAGGACTACTCAACGGGTGCAGCACCGTTTGCAGAAGGGGACTTTTGGCGGGCTCAGCAGGGCAGAGACAGCCTGGACAATTCCTATTGGCTTTTGAAAGACTCTATTCAAGAGAGTCTATTCTATTGGCTTTCAAAAGCCAATAGAATAAAAGGGAGGAGCACAGCTAAGGAAAAGGGGGGGGGAAATGGCGGACTGTGTTGTTTGGCGACCCCCGTGAAATGGTCGTTCGACCCCAAATGGGGTCCCGACCCACTGGTTGAGAACCACTGTTTTAAGCGGACCCCGCCATGGCGCGGGAACAACGCGAGGAAGAAGAAGATTCTTTTAGCTACCGATGGAGTTGAGTGTCTTGCTTTCCTAGAAAATCAAGCTGGGGCAGGGCTGACGGGTCAAGTTAGGCCCAAAGCCCCCTTCCCACACCCCTCTGTCCTCTGCCCAGGTTAGAGATTAGTCAGGAACACCATGCTCAAACTCGGCACACTCCATGCTACCACCTGCCTTAGTCGCTCTCCGGCCGATACAGATACTTCATCATCAGACTGTCCACTTGCTTTTTCCGTTTCTTCTCCTCCTTCTTCAACTGCTTGGTGGACTTCCCAGCCTCCGGACTCCCTTCCTTAGGGACGCTGCCGGTCTCCCCGTCAGAGGGCTTTGGGCCTTTCTTGATGCTGGAGTCGCTACGATAGGAGACAGTGGAGCTGGAGGAAGACTCCGAGGAAGACCCGGTGTGGGACCTCTGTTGCTTCTTCTTCTTGGACTTCTTCTTGGATTTCTTGGCGCGCTTTTGGAGGTCTTCCTCTGCCGCTCGGGAGAGGAAGAGGAAGAGGAGGAGGAAGAGGAAGAGGAGGAGTCACTGGAGGAACTCCGCTTTCGGCTCCTCCGACCCTTCGTTTTCTGATCAGGCCGGTAGAAGTCCAAGGCCGAGGCTGACCGGCGGAGGCTGCTGGCCGGGTGCTCGGCGGTCTCCAGCCGAGTGGTGCTCCTGGCACTGCGGACACTCCTGCGGTCCTCTTCCTCCGAGTCGGTATCCCGGCTGGAGCGCCTGAATTTGACGGGCTTGTAGTTTAGCACCTCGCTGATTGCTGCCTCCAGATCCGGGTCGAGGTAGCTCCGATGGCCGACCGGCCGGATGTCCACGTCGTCTAACCGCAAGTCATCCGAGGCGGACGTCCGGGGCCGAGGAGGCATGGAGAGGCTGCGCGCGACGGAGTGCTGGCTGCAGAGGGAGCGAGAGTCGCTCGGGGCCAGGCTGGCCGTGTCGTCCAGCTGGGAACGGCTCAAGGAGATCCGTGAGCCTGGGCGGCCGTAGGACGAGCTAAGGTCATCCAAGCGAGAAGCGCTGCGCCGCGAGCTTCCAGGGCTGGAGAGGGCCAAGCTGAGGGACGAGCGGGTGTCATCTTCCAGGCCAGCCCAGGAGGCTGCACTTTGACTGACCGCGGCCGAGAGGACCGACGTCCGATCGAATTCGGCCGCCGAGGTGGACCAGCGCTTCTCCAGGCCCTTGGCGAGGCGGCTACTGGTCTCAGAGAGGACGGATCCTCTGTCACTTAGCTCCTCCAGGCCTCCGCCGAGTGACTTCTTCCAGGAGGCAAGGGAGCTAGTCTCGTCTGAGCCGCCCGCCACCGAGGCCCGTGCGGCCTTGCGGAAAGAGCGGTCCGGTGAGGCGGGGCGCTCGCTCAGGGCAGAGAAGAGGCTCTCCTCATCCCCTTTCCCTCCAATGGAGTCCTTGAGGTTGGTGCGCTTCCGATAGCTCAGCGAGCTCATGACAGACGCCGGCCTGTCCTCCCCGTTCTTAGCCTCCTTGCCAGGCGCGTCCAGGGTGGGTCTGACCCAGGCAGGAGGCGGCCACAGTGGGAGAAGAGAGCAGGAAAGAGAGAGAAATGGTTAACTGGAGGGGAACAAGATCGGGCACGGTGCAGTGGTTAGGATGCAGCATTGCAGACAAACTCTGCCCGTTGCCAGGAGTTCGATCCCGACAGGTGCAAGGTTGACTCAGCCTTCCATCCTTCCGAAGTCAGTAAAATGAGGACCCAGATTGTTGGGGGGCAAATAGGCTGACTCTGTAAACCACTTAGAGAGGGCTGTAAAGCGCTGTAAAGCTGAAGGAAGGGGGGGGGGAGGAAGGAAGGAAGGAAGGAAGGAAGATGAGGAAGGATGATGAGAAGGAAGGAAGGAAGGAAGGAAGGAAGGAAGGAAGGAAGGAAGGAAGGAAGGAAGGAAGGAAGGAAGATGAGAAGGAAGGGAAACGTGGAGAAGGAAGGAAGCTGTGGTGGTGCAGTGGTTAGAATGCAGAATTGCAGGCTGACTCTGCCCACAGCCAGGAAGTTCGATCCTAACGGGTTCAAGGTTGACTCAGCCTTCCGTCCTTCCGAGGTCGGAAAAAGGAGGACCCAGATGGTTGGGGGCAAATAGGCTGACTCTGTAAAACAGAGAGGGCGGTAAAGCACCATGAAAGCGGTATATAAGTCTAAGGGCTATTGCCTGGGGAGGGAAGGAGAGAGGGAGAAAAAGAGGGAAGGAGGGAGAAAGGAAGGAAAACAGGAAGGAAGGAAAACAAGAAAGGAAATGAGGGAAAGGAAGGAAGCTGTAGTGGTGCACTTGTTACAATGCAGTGTTGCAGGCTAACTCTACCCACTGCCAGGAGTTCGATCCTGACTAGCTCAAAGTTGACTCGCCTTCCGTCTTTCCAAGGTCGATAGAGAGCACTGTATAGCACTCTGAAGTGGTATGTAAGTCTAAGTGTTTTATTGCTTAGGAAGGAAGGAAGAAGGAAGGAAGGAAGGAAGGAAGGAAGGAAGGAAGGAAGGAAGGAAGGAAGGAAGGAAGGAAGGGCGGGCAATGGATGGAAACTCATCAAACTCAACCTGGAACTAGGAAGGAAGGAAGGAAGGAAGGAAGGAAGGAAGGAAGGAAGGAAGGAAGGAAGGAAGGGAGGAGGGAGGGAGGGAGGAAAGGAGGAAGGAAGGGCAATGGATGGAAACTCATCAAACTCAACCTGGAATTAAAGAGGAAAAAAGGAAGGAAGGAAGGAAGGAAGGAAGGAAGGAAGGAAGGAAGGAAGGAAGGAAGGAAGGAAGGAAGGAAGGAAGGAAGAAAGAAAAGAAGGGAGGGAGGGAGGGAGGGAGGGAGGAAGGAAGGGAAGGAAGGAAGGAAGGGCAATGGATGGAAATTCATCAAACTCAACCTGGAACTAAAGAGAAAGGAAGGAAGGAAGGAAGGAAGGAAGGAAGGAAGGAAGGGAGGGAGGGAGGGAGGGAGGGAGGAAGGAAGGAAGGGCAATGGATGGAAACATCAAACTCAACCTGGAACTAAAGAAGGAAGGAAGGAAGGAAGGAAGGAAGGAAGGAAGGAAGGAAGGAAGGAAGGAAGGAAGGAAGGAAGGAAGGAAGGAAGCCATGGTTAGAATCCAGCATTGCAGGCTGACTCTGCCCACAGCCAGGAAGTTCCATCCTGACCAGCTCAAGGCTGAGACTCAGCCTTCCGTCCTTCCGGAGGTCGCTAAAAGGAGGACCCAGATTGTTGGGGGAGGGCAAGATGCTGACTCCGTAAACCGCTCAGAGGGCTGAGCAGTATATAAATCTAAAGTGCTGCTGCTGTGGCTATGTGCTCCGGGAGCCGAGATCCAGCTGCGGAAGACGGGCCTTCCCAAGGAGCATCCGGGAAACCCAGCCGTGTTCTCTGCCAGGGCTGTTGAATTTCTGTTTGGTTTTGTTTAAGAAAGTGGGAAATAAACACACACAAAAAAGCAAAGAAAAAAAACACACACACACACACACACACCTCCGCCATCGATTTCAATTTGTTTTGTTGTCAGCTATCTGGGAAACGCTGGCGGCACGGAGCAATCGATTCTCCCAGCGGGGGCCCAAAATAAAAGAGGAGCACGATTCCCCACAACCAAAGGTGGTACGTTCGTGCGGAGGGACAAATTAAACCCATTACAGGCCTGGTTCTCGACTCATGATCGCGAGCGGGCCCAAACGTTCTCTGGCTGAGCCAGACAGAACCACATTTGGGGTCTCCTGCCTGAGCAGGGGGCTGGGCTAGAACAGAGACCCCCCCAACCTTTCAGGCACCAGGGACCACCGGTTCCGTGGAGGGAGGTTTTTCCCGCGGACCGGAGAGTGCGTGGTTTTGCGTGCTGCCTGCATCCCGCGGATGGGGCTTTGCTTGTTTGTGCGGACCGGTTGCCAGCATGCCGTGGACCGGTACCGGTCCACGGATCGGGGGGGGGGTTGGGGACCCCTGGACTAGACCCCCAAGGCCCGTTTAAACTCTGTTATTCCGCAACGCAGTTCTTGAGCGAGTTTTGCAACGTTCTGGCCAACGTGAGTCCCTGCAGCTGCGAAGGTCGTTAAATGAAACTGACTTCTCCCCCTCCGTTGACTTTGCTTGGCAGAAGGTCGCAAAAAGGGGACGGCGGGATCCCCGGGGCGCTGCGACCGTCGCCAATACGAGCGGCTGAATTCCGATCCCGTGACCAGGGGGAGAGGCCGCGCCCGTCGGTAAGCGTGAAAAACAGACGTAAGTCCCTGTTTTCAGTGCTGTTCTAACTTCAACAACCTGCCTCCGTGTTTTCCTCCTGGAGGTGTGTGTGTGGGAAATCGTCTGCAGAGAAGGTTTAAAAAAGGGGAGGGGGGCCTATGTCTGGAAACCCCCCCCCCCAAAGAAAGGGGAAACCAGAAACCAGAACAGGAACTGGGCTGGCAAAATGCCACTCAAGGGACTGTCCCAGGTGGGCATCGCAGCACCGCCCCGTCTCCTGCCCCTTCCCCAAATAAACGGGCGCCGGCTTGCAAGTCGGGGAGCGGGCACGCCCGCTCGGCTCTGCCCCCCCCCCCCGTGCCGGTGCCAACAGCTTGAGGCTGTTCCTCCATGCGCGGGTTGCTATGGCAACGGGGGTCCTATAAATAGCCCGTCTGGTTGCTGGTCACTATCAGAGCTGGTGGTGGTAGTGGGGGGGGGTATATACGGGGAAGGGGAGGCACTGACCAGAAGCCGCATCTGGGGGCTTTGGCGGGGTCAGTAGGAGCCTGGGAGAAGACCCTGGCCCTGAAAGGTGGGCAGGGAGCATGGAACATGTAGTGCAAAGGTTTGAAGCCCATCGGGGCTTTCCTGCGGTTTATCCTCCACCCTGGACCCAGAAAGACTCCGAAAGAGAGAGAGAGAAAAAAACGGGGTGCAAAATGTGTCCTGGGTGGTCTTCGCTTTTTTTTTTCCCAGGGGTTCCAGACTGGGACCCCACCCCACCCTTATATTGGCGGCTGCTTGTAAAAAGAGCAGGGGGTGGGCTCCTCGTGGAAGTGGGCCCTGACGTCGATGGGCTCTCAAGGGCGATGGGTGGGGGGGGGGCAGAAGAGAGAGCCTGGGGGAGTCACCGGTTCGTGGATGGGACCCTCCAGCTGGGACCCTCACCCCACGAGAGGGAGGTGAGCATGCTCAGAAGGAGCTGATAAGGAGCCTGCATGGATTCGGTAAAGAAGTGCCTTAGGGAGGCCAGAATGAGGTTCTTTGTGCACGCACACACACACACACACACACACAGACACAGACACACACACGTGCAGACACAAGCACACAACTCCAAATCCAAGGACTTGGAAGAAGGGCAACGAGACATTGCAAAAAGGGATTTTTAAGGCATTCATATCTGATCTAGCAAGGATTATGGCACTTAACTGAGTTTAAGGATGGGGGGGGGACCGACACGCTGATTTTTTTTCTCTCTCTCTCTCTCTTTTTTTTGGCAACAAATGCAGTCGCATCTGATATGGAGCTGGGGGCGTTTAATCAATTAATCAATGAACAATTAATCAGTGGGACGCCTCGTCTCCAGAAGCTGCGGGTGCTCCAACATGGAAGGTTTTTTTCAAGAAGAGACTGGATAGGCGTTTGTCTGGAATTGTATAGGGTGAAGGTGTCCAATCTTGGGAACTTTTAAGAATGTGTGGGAAGAGAGCAGGAAGTCCATCCATCTTGAATGCTGGCTAGGGAATTCTGGGAGTGGAAATCCACCACTCTTAAAGCATGCTGGCTGGGGATTCTGCTCCTAACGCATGCTGGCTGGGGGATTATGGGAGTTGAGGTCCACCCCTCTTAAAGCAGCCTGGCTGGGGGATTATGGGAGGGGAAGTCCACCCCTCTTAAAGCATGCTGGCTGGGGGATTATGGGAGGAGAAGTCCACCCCTCTTAAAGCATGCTGGCTGGGGGATTATGGGAGGAGAAGTCCACCCCTCTTAAAGCATGCTGGCTGGGGGATTATGGGAGGAGAAGTCCTCCCCTCTTAAAGCAGGCTGGCTGGGGGATTCTGGGAGTGGAAGTCCACCCCTCTTAAAGAGGCTGGCTGGGGGATTCTGGGAGTGGAAGTCCACCCCTCTTAAAGCATGCTGGTGGGGAATTCTGGGAGTGGAAGTCCACCCCCCTTAAAGCATGCTGGTGGGGAATTCTGGGAGTGGAAGTCCACCCCTCTTAAAGCAGGCTGGCTGGGGGATTCTGGGAATGGAAGTCCACCCCTCTTAAAGCAGGCTGGCTGGGGGATTATGGGAGTTGGAGTCCATCAGTCTTGTATGACTGAGGAATTCTGGGATTTGAAGTCCACCAAATCTTAAAGTTCCCAAGGTTGCACACCTCTACTACAGGGCCCGCTGCTCGAGCAGAGGGTTGGACTAGAAGACCTCCAAGATCCCTTCCAGCTCTGTCACTCTCTTATTCTGTTACTCTGTTTTCCTACACACCATGCAACAGGAGGAACGGGCCACCAACACGGAGGCCTGGCCCATTCCCTCCCTGCAAAGCCGGGAGCCCTTTCCCACCCCTCCGCCCCCACCCCCCCACGGGTGGGATGCCCCCGGCGTGCCAGGCCCACCTGCTACTCTTCAAACTGCCGTCCTCGGAGACCGACTTGCAGGAACCCTTGTTTTTCGACAGCCACGATTTCACTCCGTCCACGCGGTCTTCCAGCTCCGAATCGGCGTCCGAGTCTCCCTCGCTGGGGAGGGAAAAAAAAGTCAACAGAAAAATCAGCGGGGTGTATTTGCTGACATCCAGGACAGAAGGTGTCACTCTTTCGAAAGCCCCACCGAGACGGGTTAATCGGCGTTCAGAAATGCCACATTGGCTCCATCCCCACAGCCTTCGGAGATTTGCCCGGCTCCTCTCAAGATCAAGAAAAAGGGGGACAGATGGACGGGCAGATGGTGGGACCCCCCCCCCCGAGCCTTCGGCGTCCATCTCCTGTCGTCCAAATGGATGAGAGGAAACTCGTCAAATTTGCAAATGACAACCAAGCTGGCAGGAGTAGCCAACGCGCCAGAAGACAAGCTCAGGATCCAAAAAGACTTGGACAAGGGGCCCTGTCCCACGATATGAAATTCAACGTAGATTAAGAATAAAATTCTTCACTTAGGCAAGAAAAAACTGCTGTATAGGTCAGGGCTAGGCCACCTTGGCTCTTTTATGACTGGTGGACTTCAACTCCCAGAATTCCTGAGCCAGCATGGGGGAATTATGGCCCCCTCGTGACTCGTGGACTTCAACTCCCAGAATTCCTGAGCCAGCCATGCTGAGGGGAAAGGGAGAGGTTTCCATGCTGAGTCATACTGGCTCAGGAATTCTGGGAGTTGAAGTCCACGAGTCATAAAAGGGGCCATAGTTCCCCCATGCTGGCTCAGGAATTCTGGGAGTTGAAGTCCACGAGTCATAAAAGAGCCAAGGTTGCCTACCCCTGGTATAGGCACAGACTAGGTAAAACGTGGCTTAATGTCAGTGGGATCTTGGCATCCTAGAGGACAATCATTTAAATGTGAGCCAGACATGTGTGGCGGCAGCCAAATAGGCCAACCCAGTGCTGGGCTGCATTAACAGACGGGTAGAATCAAGATCACGTGAAGTATTAATGTCACTCTACAATGCCTTGGTAAGGCCACACTTGGAATACGGCATCCAGTTTTGGTCACCACGATGTAAAAAAGATGTTGAGACTCTAGAAAGAGTACAGAGAAGAGCAACAAAGATGATTAGGGGACTGGAGGCTAAAACATATAAGGAACGGTTGCTGGAATTGGGTATGTCTAGTTTAACGAAGAGAAGGACAAGGGGGGACATGATAGCAGTGTTCCAATATCTCAGGGGCTGCCATAAAGAAGAGCGAATTAAGCTATTCTCCAAAGCGTCTGAAAGCAGGACAATAAGCAACAGATGGAAACTAACCAAGGAGAGAAGCAACCTAGAACTAAGGAGAAACTTCCTGACAGTGAGAACAATTAACCAGTGGAACAACCTGCCTCCAGAAGCAGTAAATGCTCCAACACTGGAAGTTTTTAAGAAGAGACTGGACAGCCATTTGTCCGAAACGGTGTAGGGTTTCCTGCATGAGCAGGGGGTTAGACTACATGACCTCCAAGGTCCCTTCCAACTTTACTACTATTACTATTACTACTTTACAAGGCCTTGGTAAGGCCACACTTGGAATATGGCATCCATTTTTGGTCACCACGATGTAAAAAAAGATGTTGAGATTCTGGAAAGAGTGCAGAGAAGAGCCACAAAGATGATTTTTAGGGGACAGGAGGCTAAAACCTACGAAGAATGGTTGCTGGAATTGGGGGGGTGTCTGGTGAAAAGAAGGATTAGGGGGAGACACAATAGCTCTGATTGATTGACGGGCCGATTTATCAATCGGGAGCCATTTTGCCCGACTTGAGACAGCTCACAACAGAAGCAACACCACAATAACCATCTACGGAAAAGTAAACAGATGCTGAATCTCGTTAACGCAGAAACCAAATGCCAAAAAGACAACACACACACACACACACAAAAAAAACCCAAAGCCTGGAAGGAAAGTTCTCTGGGCTTTGCAGACGGCCATCGGGGTGGGGAGCCCCCTTGATGCCAGGGCCAACCACCTTCCAGAGGGGAGAGGCTGCAATGGAGTAAGCACATCTCCTGGGTCCCCCCCCCCAAATGACACTGTTTAAATGAAGGGGAGCCAGAACACGCCAACCGTTGCAGGTACCACAGGAGACAACCTGGTCCTGTAGACACATAGAGAGGAGCAGTATTTACACCCATTTAAAAGAGATCCCCCCCCAAAAAAGAAAATGCCTAAGAAGGGGAAAAAAAAGAGATCAGAACTGATCCTCTCCAGCCACTCCAGATAAGCAGGGATTAACACCAGACAAAAATCAAGCTGAGAACAATAGCCCAGTCAAGGAACGGGGAACGGGGAAGACCACGGCCTGACCGAAAGTAGTAGGAGAAGCTTCTGGATATAAACGGAGCGAACTCCAGGATGGAGTTCAGCTACACAGGTGGTCCCTCAGATAACCAGGCCTTGCCCTTCCTTCCTTCCTTCCTTCCTTCCTTCCTTCCTTCCTTCCTTCCTTCCTTCCTTCCTTCCCCATGATCCCATCTTCCTTCCCCCCTTCCTTTTCCTTCCTTTCCTTCCTTCCTTCCCCATGATCCCATCTTCCTTCCCTTCCTTTCCCTTCCTCCTTTCCTTCCTTCCCAATGATCCCATCTTCCTTCCCCCCTTCTCTTCCTTTCCTTCCTTTTCCTTTTCTTTTTCCTTTCTTCTCTTCCCCTTCCTTCTCCCTTTCTCATTTTCCTTCCTTCCATTTCCCTTCTTTCCTTCCTCTCATTTTCCTTCCTCCGACCCTTCCTTTCTTTTTCCTTTCCCTCTCCCATCCCTCCCTCCTTCCTTCCCTCTCCCCCCTTCCTTCACTTCCTTCCCCATCATCTCATCCTTCCTTCCTTCCCCATGATCCCATCCTCCTTTCTCCCTTCTCCCTCCCTCCTTCCTTCACTTCCTTCCCCATCATCCTTCCTTCCTCCCTCCTTCCTTCCTTCCCCATGATCCCATCCTCCTTCCTCCCTTCCCTCTTTCTCTTCCTTCCTCCCTCCCTCCCTCCTTCTTTCCGCATGATCCCATCCTCCTTCCTCCCCTCCATCTTTCTCTCTTTCTCTTCCTTCCTTCCTCCCTCCTTCTCTTCCTGTTCAGCTCTGCCTTTACTCACAATCCTGGTGCCTCCCCCCTCCCCCCCTCCTCTCAGCCAGGAAGCCCACCTCTCCCCTGACCCCCCCCCCAATCTTCAGCCCTGAGTAACTCCGGACCAGGGATACAACCCCGCTACCCCCTGGTGCTGGGCGGGGGCCGCCAGGCGACGAGAGAGGCGCCAGGCGACGAGAGAGGGGCCAGCTCTGCTTTATGGCCATCCTCGTCCAATTAAGGCAGCGGCAGCCGAGAGAGCGATGATGGGTCTGTCCCTGGGTAAATGGGAGTTTAGCGGGCACATGGCAGCCCCTGGATTTACGAGGAGGCTGTCGCGGTGCTCGCAAGCCGACTTCTGCACGGCGAAGAAGCGCGGCCTGATTGATATGGCGGCGTAAAAGCAGTCGCATCCGGCTTAAGGCCTCTAAATTTTATAAGTGGCGGCGTTCATCACAGCGCTGATGGCCCTGAGCATGGATGTGCCGTTATGCGCGAGGCCGGGGCGGGCAGGGAGCGCGTTCCTCCGTGTTGCGGGCCGTGTCTGCGTAAATCTCGCCGCTAACACCGGGCTCTTTATCGCTTCCATTACCATTATAGCCGTAACAGCGTATCTATACAGATATCGCGGCGTTCTTTCGTCTCCCCGCCGAGGTCCGTAACTCTCCCTCCGGCTTCCCAGGGCACTAAGTGGGGAGGCTTTAGGGGGGGGGAGAAACACGGCTCCTTTGCCACGACGTCTTCAGTGCGTCGTCTGGGGTGCTTGCTGTAGGTAGTCCTTGACTTACGACCATAATTGAGCCCAATGTTTCCGTCACTAAGTGAGACATTTCTGAAGGGAATTTTGCCCCTTAATTCCGGGTGCTCCCTAGAGGTAGTCCTCAACTTACGGCCAAAATTGAGCCCAACCTTTCCGTCGCTAAGCGAGACATTCTGCTAAGGGAACTTTGCCCCGTTTTACGGCCTCCCTTGCCGCCGCGGTTAAGCAAATCGCGGCAGTTTCCACCTAAGCAACACGGTGGCTGGTCCGAAGGGTGCAAAAGGAGTTCATTTTACGACCTTTCTTGCCACCGTTGTTAAGTGGATCACTGCAGTTTTAACAGTCACACGGCCGTTAAGTGAATCCGGCTCCCCCCCAGTGACTTTGCTTGTCGGAAGGTCGCAAAAGGGGATCAAGTGACAACCCTGGGACGCTGCGGCCGTCGTAATTACGATCCCGAATTCAGATCACGTGACCACGGGGGACACTGCAACTGTCCTAAGTCCATGTCAGTTGCCAAGCCTCTTAATTCAGATCACGTGACACGGGGGATGCTGCAAATGATCATAAAGTGTGAAAAATGGCCGTAAGTCCCTTTTTTTTCCGGTCCTGTAACTTCCAACGTTTACTAAACAAACGGTTATAAGTCCAGGACTCCCCGTATGAGGAGCAGCGTCGCCATCCGCCTTTGAGTCCCCCCCCACCCCATTAAATCCGAAGCCCTGGAAATCAAAATGCCGGGAGGCAGTTTGTTATTTTTCCACCGTGAAAAAAGCTGGAGAGCCCTATAAACCAACTCGGGGGGGGGGGGCTGCTGTGATTTTAAATTGTCGGAATTAAACCTCCCGTCAAAGGCAATTTAAGTCCAGGGTAGCCGTGCCATTACTTAATCGGGATCCGAACCGCTGGGGAACGGACTGGAGGCAGGCTGAACGGTCGGGGACATTAATTGTGTGTGACAACCAGGCACCGGCTGCCCTAGATCACTGCTAGAGTTGATTACATTTATCATTAGCGGGGAGAGATCTCTCTGTCGTCGTCCAGACAGACCCGGCTCGGGGTCGGGAAAGGAAAAAAGGCTGGGCCACCCAAAGCACGGGAAGATTAAAAATGGACACGGGCCAGCGTTTCCGATGCGAGAGGGCCAAATTTGGGATCCCAAAGGTGCTTTTTTTAAGGAGGCAACTGGACGTTGTTTTTTTTCCATTCATCATATCTCTATATCTATCTTTCGGTCCATCAAAGCCCCAGCCATCCCTGGTCTGTCTGTCTATCCATTCTGTCTGTCTGTCTGTGTCTATCTATCTACCTTATCTGTCTATTTATCAACTATCTATCCATCCATTCACTCTCCATCCATCCATCATCCATCCATCATATCTATACATTATCTTTCTGTCCATCTGATCTCCATCCATCCATCCATCCAATCATCATCCATCCATCCATCATATCTATACACTTATCTTTCTGTCCATCAGATCTCCATCCATCCATCCATCCATCCATCCATCCATCCAATCATCATCCATCATCCATCCATCCATCATATCTATACAGCTATCTTTCTGTCCATCTGATCTCCATCCATCCATCCATCCATCCAATCATCATCCATCCATCCATCTATCATAAGTATACACCTATCTTTTTGTCCATCTGATCTCCATCCATCCATCCATCCATCCAATCATCATCCATTATCCATCCATCATAAGTATACACCTATCTTTCTGTCCATCACATCTCCATCCATCCTTCCATCCATCATCCATCCATCATATCTATACACCTATCTTTCTGTCCATCTGATCTCCATCCATCCATCAATCATCATCCATCATCCATCCATCATAAGTATACACCTATCTTTCTGTCCATCTGATCTCCATCCATCCATCCATCCATCCATCCATCCATACATACATCCATCCACCCAACTATGTCTGTCCATCCATCCATCCATCCATCCATCCATCCATCCATCCATCCATCCATCTATCCACCCACCCACTTATTCATCCAAGCAATCGTGTCTGTCCATCCATCTGTCCATCCACCCTACCCACCACTTACCCATCTTCGTCTTTGAAGGTGTTTTGCTTCTCCTCCCAGAAGCTTCTTCAGCTCTGACTGGAGGGTGGGGGAATAGAAGGATTTATACTGCTTGCAGGCAGCTGGTCATTTGCATCCTTTTAGAGAGTCATTGAGCCCACTTGGAGGTTTGTCTGTGTCCTCAGGGTCATCTGAGTGGTGCAAATGCGTGTGGGGGCTTCTTGGAACTGCTGAAAGAAGGCTCCCCACCTATCTGAACCCCTCAGGTGACCCCGAGGACACAGACAAACCTCCAAGTGGCCTCAAGAACTCTCTAAAAGGATGCAAATGACCAGCTGTCTGCAAGGAGTATAAATCCTTCCATTTCCCAACATCCAATCAGAGTTGAAGAAGCTTCTTGGATGAGGAACGAAAGGTCTTCAAGGAGAACGGAAGGATTTATACTCCTTGCAGGCAGCTGGTCATTTGCATCCTTTTAGAGAGTTGTTGAGGCCACCTGGAGGCTGACCTGTGTCCTCGGGGTCCCCTGAGGGGTGCAAATGGGTGTGGAGTTCCTTTCAGCAGTTCCAAGAAGGCTCTATAGCCATGTGCGCTTCTGAGGTGACCCTGAGGATACAGGCAAGCCTCCAGGTGGCCTCAGCGACACTCTAAAAGGATGCAAATGACCAGCTGCCTGCAAGCAGTATAAATCCTTCCGTTCCCCTTGAAGACCTTTCGCTCCTCATCCAAGAAGCTTCCTCGGCTCTGACTAGATGGTGGAGGAATGGAAGGATTTATCCTCCTTGCAGAGAGCTGGTCATTTGCATCCTTTGAGAGAGTCGTTGAGGCCACTTGGAGGGTTGTTTGTGTCCTTAAGGTCACCTGAGCGGTGCAAATGGGTGTGGAATTCCTTTCAGCTGTTCCAGGGAGGCTCCACACCCATTTGCACCACTCTGGTGACCCTGAGAACACAGAGAAACCTGCAAATGGCCTCAATGCCTCTCTAAAAGAAGGCAAATGACCAGCTGTCTGCAAGGAGTATAAATCCTTCCATTCTCCCACCATCCAGTCAGAGCTGAAGAAGCTTCTGGATTGAGAAGGGAAATGTCTTCAAGGGGAATGGAAGGATTTGTCCTCCTTGCAGACAGTTGGTCATTTGCCTTTTAGAAAGTTGTTGAGGCCACTTGGAGGCTGATCTGTGTCCTCAGAGTCACCTGAGTGGTGCAAATGGGTGTGGAATTCCTTTCAGCAGTTCCAAGAAGCCCCCACACCCATTTGCACCACTCACCACAGCCCCTTCCAGGCCTGACAATTCTGCAATTTTACTAGGTTGCCTAAATGGCCCTTCGTGCTTTTACTCCGCTTCATCGCAGTGCAGGGCTTTCTCAGCCTCTGCGCCTTTTAAGACGGGTGGACTTCAACTCCCAGAATTCCCCAGCCAGCCATAGAGATTCTCACTTACTTAACAACCGCCGCGATTCGCTTAACAACGGGCGGCCAGAAAAGCCGTACAACGGGGCAAAACTCAACTTAACCAAACGTCTCCCTTAGCGACATCAATTTACGTTTGTTCCTAAGTGGAGGACTACAATAACCAGATTGCTCGTCCTGCCCTCTTCCACCCACCCCCCCCACCCCAAAATTCTTTATCCTTCCCAAGCGGAGATACCGAGCCAGGCTCCGGGGGTCTTCGTCCCACCCCCCCCGCCCCGCTTTCCTGCAACACCCCCCCCCCCAAGTTAGTTCCACAAGGCAGGGTTACATCGGGACCGGCTAAGGCAGAGCTAAACACCGGTTAGAGCAGGAACGGCAAGGCTCATGCGTGTTGAGGCGTGCTACAGTGGGAGGGGGAGACCGCCCCCTCCCCCCTGGCCCACGGCATGCTTGGGGGGGGGTCAGGCGTAACACGGCGTTCCTGCTCACAGTTTACTCTTGCGTTTCTGGAACTTTGACACCACGTCCTGCAAACTGGGTTGTTCGGATTGGGGAGAGGGAATTGGGGGGGGAGGGGAGGGGGAGAGAGGGAAAAAATAGCAAAATAAAATTCACAACAAGGAAGCATTTTTTTTTAAAAAAAAAGAAGTCCACTTGGGAAGGAGAGGAAGGGAGTAACAGGAAGAAGTGAAAAGGAGGAGGGGGGGAGGAGGAGGATGGAGTCCCTTTGGAGGGATAGGAAGCTGGTGGGGAGGGGGGGGAAGGTCGTGTAGAAGACCCCAAAGGAGAGAGGGGTGGTCAAAGGACCCTCAATTTTCAGAGGCGGTTTTTGTCCATTAACTGCGTGTCCATCCTCTTTGGCACCACCGGTGAGACATCTGGCTGGCCGCTGTGGGCATCAGATGATCACCGAGAGAGACCCTGAACACCGCAAGGGAGGAGGAACTGGGGGGGGGCTCCTTGGAGAAGGTCAGGAGAGTGGAGGGGTCTCATCAGACAGGCCAGAGGAGACCCTCTTACTCTCGGGGGGCCCCAGCAACCCCAAACGCCTATCAACCTTCCATCCATCATATCTATCTATCCTTTGTCTAATTTATCATGTCCATCCGTCTATCTATCTATCTATCTATCTATCTATCTATCTATCTATCTATCTATCTATCTATCACAGTCAATCTATCTACCTACCTATCTATCTACCTACCTACCTACCTACCTACCTATCTATCTATCTATCTATCTATCTATCTACCTACCTATCTATCTATCCAATCTCCATTCATCATTCATCCATCATATCTCTATATCTATCTTTCGATCCATCTAAGCTCCAGCCATCCCTGGTCTGTCTATCCATTCTATCTGTCTGTCTGTGTCTATCTATCTACCTTATCTGTCTATTTATCATCTATCTATCCATCCATTCACTCTCCATCCATCCATCCCTCATCCATTCATCATATCTATACACCTATCTTTCTGTCCATCTGATCTCCATCCATCCATCCACCCAACCAACCATATCTGTCTGTCTGTCTATATCTATCCATCCATCCATCCATTCATCATCCATCCATCATATCTATACACTTATCTTTCTGTCCATCTGGATCACCATCCATCCAATCATCATCCATCCATCCATCATATCTATACACCTATCTTTCTGTCCATCACATCTCCATCCATCCATCCATCCATTCATCCATGCAACTCTCTCCATCCATCCACCCAACCATGTCTGTCTGTCTGTCTATATCTATCCATCCATCCATCCATTCATCATCCATCCATCATATCTATACACTTATCTTTCTGTCCATCTGGATCACCATCCATCCATCCATCCATCCATCCATCCATCCATCCATCCACCTATCTTTCTGTCCATCTGATCTCCATCCAACCATCCATCCAACCATCCATCCATCCATCCATCTATCCATCATATCTATACACCTATCTTTCTGTCCATCTGATCTCCATCCATCCATCCATCTATCCATCCATCCATCCATCAACCCAACCAACCACGTCTGTCTGTCTGTCTGTCCATATCCATCCATCCACCCACCCACCTACCCCATCTCCCACAGCGACTATGTGACTAACATCGTTCGGTTATAGTGTGCTACACATTTGCCCGTTGGGCGGCCCCCTTGACCCACCCACCTCCTCGCCCCCCCGCCCACCTGTTGATGAGGTCCTCATTGTCCTCGCTGTCCATCTCGTCCTCAATGGCGGCCTGCAGGTCCCCGATCCGCTTGAAGGCCAGCTTCAGATCCGCCTGCAAGCTCTGGTTGGCCGCTTCCAAGCTCTCCAGGTCCATCTCCTGGGGAGGAAGACCACAGCCAGGGTGAGGGGCTTCCTAGCGGCATCGCCCTCGTGGGCGCACCGCCCTTCGGCCAGGTTCCCACCCCCGACCCCTTCTCTTCTCAGATTTCCTTTCCTTCCTCTCCTTCCTTCAATAGTAGCAACTGTGAGAGGGACCTCGGAGTCCTAGTGGACAATCCCTTAAATAGGAGCCAGCCGTGTGCTGCAGCTGCCAAAAAGGCCAACACAGTGCTAGGCTGCATTAACAGAGGGACAGAATCAAGATCACATGAAGTGTTAATACCACTTTACAAGGCCTTGGTAAGGCCACACTTGGAATAATGCATCCAGTTTTGGTCACCACAATATAAAAAAGATGTTGAGACTCTAGAAAGAGTGCAGAGAAGAGCAACAAAGATGACTTTAGGCGACTGGAGGCTAAAACATATAAGGAACGGTTGCTGGAATTGGGTATGTCTAGTTTAACGAAGAGAAGGACCAGGGGGGACAGGATAGCAGCCTTCCAGTATCTCAGGGGCTGCCCCAAAGAAGAGGGAGTCAAGCTCTTCTCCAAAGCCCCTGAAGGCAGGACAAGAAGCAACGGGTGGAAACTAACCAAGGAGAGAAGCAACCTGGAACTAAGGAGAAACTTCCTGACAGTGAGAACAATTAATCAGTGGAACAGCTTGCCTCCAGAAGCAGTAAATGCTCCAACACTGGAAGTTTTTAAGAAGAGACTGGACAGCCCTTTGTCCGAAATGGTGTAGGGTTTCCTGCCCGAGCAGGGGGTTGGACTAGATGACCTCCAAGGTCCCTTCCAACTTTACTACTATTACAATTACAATCCTCCCTCTCCTTCCTTTCCTCCCTCCCTCCCTTTTCCTTTTCTTCCTTCCTACTTCCCTTCCTTCCTATTTGTCTGCCTTCCGGCCCAATTTTTTTTTTAAAAAAGACGACTGCTATTTGCCAGCCCCGGGAAAAGCCACCTTTTGCGATTCTTTTATTTAATAATGGGAGACAGACCCCTCTCGAGACGGACCCGCCCTCTGCACATCCTCTCGGGAAAGTTCACCGTGGCCTGTCCCCCCCCCCCCGTAGTCCCCTTTCACAGAAGAAGTGTTTCCTTTATTGATCTGTGCCCTTTATCAGAGAGCTCCAACCTCACCGGCTTCAGCAGCTGAGACCTTCACCGTTCAGACCCAAACGTGGCACCAAGAGAGCTTTCCACAAAACGCAGCAGGTTTTTTTCCCTTCCGCTGAGGCCGAACGGGAGACGAGAGCCCCCCCCCCTTGGGTGCTCAGCGAAATGACCACCGAGAAGGGCCCAGCTGGGCTCCCTCTGTCACCTGGCATGCTTAACGTCCAGCCGTGGATTGACCAGTGGAACAGCTGGCCTCCAGGAATGGTGGGCCCTCCATCACTGGAGGTTTTTAAGAAGAGGCTGGACAGTCACTAGTCTGGACTGGCCATAGGGTCCCCTGCCTGAGCAGGGGGCTGGACTAGAAGACCTCCAAGGTCCCCTCTGACTATTCCATTCCATTCCATTCTATTCTTTCCTTCTTTTGTTTTGTTCTGTTCTGTTCTGTTCTGTTCTGTTCTACTCTTCCATTCTACTTTACTCTACTTTTTTATTCTATTCCTATCCTATCCTATCCTATTCTATTCTACTCTATTCTAATTCCATTCCATTCCATTCCATTCTATCCTATTCTATCCCTATTCTGTTCTGTTCTATTCCATTCCATTCTATTCTATCCCTATTCTATCCCAATTCTATCCCAAATCTATTCTATTCTATTCTATTCTATTCTATTCTTATTCTTATTCTATTCCATTCCATTCTATCCTATCCCAATTCTATCCCTATTCTATTCTATTCTATTCTATCCTATTCTATCCCTATTCTGTTCTATTCTATTCCTTCCATTTCCTATTCTATTCTACTCTACTCTACTCTATTCTATTCTACTCTATTCCTATTCTATTCTATCCTATCCTATCCCAAATTCTATCCTATCCCAAATTCTATTCTATTCTATTCTATTCTATTCTATTCTATTCTATTCTATTCTATTCTATTCTATTCCATTCTATCCCAATTCTATTCTATTCTATTCTACTCTATTCTATTCTATTCCATTCCATTCTATCCCAATTCTATTCTATTCTACTCTACTCTACACTCTACTCTACTCTATTCTAATTCCATTCCATTCCATTCTACACTCTACTCTACACTCTACTCTACTTCTATTCCTATTTCTATTCTAGGAGAGGGGGAGGGAGAGGGTGGGCAGACCGCCCTCTGGAGAGCGGACCGTGAATCTGTCGACTCCTTAAACAACCACAATCATGGTGCATTTATTCCTGTCTCTCGAGGGAAGCCATTAAAATGAGAAAAGGTTGGGCAGCGAGCCCAGGGAGGATTTGCATATGGCCAGGGGAAGGTGCCTGAGTGCATGGGACAGTTGAACAGAATGTCAGAGTTGGAAGGGACCTTAGAGGTCTTCTAGTCCAACCCTTTTGCTCAGGCAGGAGACCCTGGCCTATACCATTTCAGACAAATAGGTTTTCTTAATAACTTTCTGTGATGGAGCACCCACAAGGAGGCAAGGAGTTCCACTGGTTAATTGTTCTCACTGTCAGGAAATTCCTCCTTAGTTCCAGGTTGCTTCTCTCCTTGATGAGTTTCCATCTGTTGCTTCTTGTCCGGCCTTCAGGTGCTTTGGAGAATAGCTTGACTCCTTCTTCTTTGGGGCAGCCCCTGAGATACTGGAAGGCTGCTATCATGTCCCCCCCAAGTCCTGCTTTTCACTAGACTGGACATACCCAATTCCTTCCATCATTGTAACCTCCAGCCCCCTGATCATCTTTGTTTCTCTTCTCTGCACTCTGTCAAGAGTCTCAACATCCTTTTTTTGCATCGTGGTGGTGACCAAAACTAGCTATTGTTGGGCTCTGCTCCTCATCCTAGGCTTAATCCGAACTAGACTACACAGGACCATTACAATATAAGTTGATGGTGTTACCTAGTTGGGTCATGAAACGTCTGCAAGAAAACCACCCAGCTCAGAGAGCACCAAGGACCCCACAGTAGTCTTCCTCCTCCTCCTCCTCCTCCTCTTCCTCCTCCTTCCCCCTCTCTCCCTCCTCTCCCTCCCTTCTAGCACTGATGCTGTTACTTAGTTGGGTCATGAAACATCTGCAAGAAAACAGCTCAGGTCAGAGAGCACCAGGGACCCCACAGTTCTCCTCCTCCTCCTCCTCCTCCTCCTCCTCCTTCCCTCCCTCCCTCCGTCCCTCCCTTCTAGCATTGATGATATTACCTAGTTGGGTCATGAAACGTCTGCAAGAAAACAGCCCAGCTCAGAAAGCACCAGGGACACCACAGTCCTCCTCCTCCTGCTCCTCCTCCTCGCCCCTCCCTCCTTCTCCCCCTCCTAGCCCTGATGATGTTACCTAGCTGGGCCCTGAAACGTCTGCCAGGAAACCACCCAGGGGAGAGAGCACCCAGGACCCCTGGCCAGAGTTTTTTGCACCGGGCTTCACCAGACACAGATATTCTGGTTGGAAAGCAGAGCCAAAGCAGACCCCCCTGGGACGGGGGAGGGCAGGGGAAGCTGGTGGGCCTTGAGCAGAAAGGTGGTCCCAGGTCTGCCCCGTACCAGTTCGTGCTTCTTCCGGCTTGCCTCCGCCTCTTTCTTGGCCACTTCGGCCATCTCCTCTTTGGTGTCCCGCAGCTGACGCTGAAGCCGCTTGTTCTGCTCCTTCTCCCGGTTCTCGGCCGCCGTGCGCTGGTCTCGCTCTTCCGTCAGCTTCTCCATGTTCTCCTTCAAGCGGGTGGCCAGGCTCTGGGGGGGGGGGGGGGAGAGAAGGAGATATATTGTGGAGGAGAGGCAGGCAGGTGCCCGGCAAGGGGCCAGGCCATGGATGGAGATATGTCTTTGGTTGTTCGGGTTTTCTCCCGCGTAAAATTGGAAGTGTCTTGGCGACGTTTCGACGAAGTCCCATTCGTCATCTTCAGGCTGGTGTTTTCAGCTTCGTGCTTCAGCTTGCTGCTCGAAGCACGAAGCTGAAAACACCAGCCTGAAGATGACGAATGGGACTTCGTCGAAACGTCGCCAAGACACTTCCAATTTTATGTGGGAGAAAACCCGAACAACCAAAGACCTATATATACCGCTTTACAGTGTTTGACAGCCCTCTCCGAGCGGATTATAGAAGACCCCGGAGGACCAGTTGCCAACAAGACAGAGGAAAAGGAGCTGCAGAATTTGGGGGGGCGCAGAGGGGGCAGAGTGGGAGGGTCTTCCCTGGTCCGTTCCACGTTCCTTGATCCTACAGCAGCTCAAAGCTAATAATAATAATAATAATAATAACAACAACAATAATAATAAAGTTGGAAGGGATCTTGGAGGTCATCTAGTCCAACCCCCTGCTCAGTCAGGAAATCCCACCATTTCAGACAAATGGGTTGTCCAGTCTCTTCTTAAAAACTTCCAGTGTTGGAGCATTCACTGCTTCTGGAGGCAGGTGGTTCCACTGGTTAATTGTTCTCACTGTCAGGAAGTTTCTCCTTAGTTCCAAGTTGCTTCTCTCCTTTAGTTTCCATCCGTTGCTTCTTGTCCTGCCTTCAGGCGCTTTGGAGAAGAGCTTGACTGCCTCTTCTTTGGGGCAGCCCCTGAGATACTGGAAGGCTGCTGCTATCATGTCTCCCCCTCGTCCTTCTCTTCATTAAACTAGACAGACCCAATTCCTGCAACCGTTCCTTGTATGTTTTAGCCTCCAGTCCCCTGATCCTCTTTGTTGCTCTTCTCTGCACTCTTTCCAGAGTCTCAACATCTTTTGTACATCGTGGTGACCAAAACTGGATGCAGTATTCCAAGTGTGGCCTTACCAAGGCCTGGTAAAGTGCTATTAACCCTTCACGTGATCTTCATTCTATCCCTCTGTTAATGCAGCCCAGCACTGTGTTGGCCTTTTTGGCAGCTGCAGCACACGGCTGGCTCCTATTTAGGTGATCTTCCACTAGGACAATCTTCCCTTTCCGGGTGGGATCACGCTTGCATTCAACGCACATCCCCTGGAATTGTTGAGAGTCTCTAACAAGTGCTGCAGCTGCCAAA